CTTTGCAAGGAAAATAAGCTATTACCATCTGGATAAAGTAAATCAAAAGACAAATATGGACTTTAGAAAGTGTTGATAAAGCTAACAAAGATTACAAAAAATAACTTTGCAAAGGGGAGGTGCAGTCTTGTCACCACTTATGGGTCTTTGTGCGCATCTGGCCTATGCACTGCACACCAGGGATATTGGCCACTTACTTAACCCATTGCCCGGGTTTTCCACGAAACAACCGGATCCAAGGGGTTAATATCTCAGCATTTAGATATCACATTCTACAACAATCTTAGTTAACACATTATTTTCCCGAAGTTACTATATTATACTACCAAAATGCTTTTGTAGAGGATATTAGTTTGCCATTATATATTATATCATCCTTAGATATTGTCAAGTGAAAGAATTTACCTTGTTTTTCTTTTAGGAGGAAGATTTAGTAGAGGATACTAAAGCGAAGAGTGAAGATGCTGAGGAGGAGTCGCAAGGACAAGAGGAAAGTGATGATAAAGAGGAAAGAAAGAAAGCAGGTAGTGAAGATGAGAATGATGTAGAAGAGGAGGAGGAGGAGGAGGGAGAGGAGGAACAGAAAGAAAAGGAGGAAGAAGAAAAGAAGGAAGAGGAGGAGGAAGAGGAGGAGGACTCTCAAGCTGAAGAAGACAAAGAATCAGGAAGCCCCAAAAACTCTCCAGAAGTGAGGCGACGACGGCCAAGGAAAGCAGACTAGCTGACTAGGTCCTTTAGATTATCTCCTTTATCCCCTTTTCGGTGGGTCTTTTGTAGGACTCGCATTCTCTCTCTCTCTCTCTCCCTCTCTCTTTCTCTCCTCTCACTCTCTCCAGCTCTGTCTCTCTCTTCTCCTGCCGATGACTCACAGCCATGAGGCATTTGAAACTTTCAAATCAAGGGATGAGCCCATGACCACAGAACCTGCTTGACAGTTTAATGAGGGCAGCTGATGCTGGCAGAATTTACTTTAATTTCCCCCCTCCCTCACTATAAATGGCTTTTTATTTACATTTACATTTTTATTTGATTATTAACTTTTCTTTTTTATCTTGGCGGAAGACTCCAGGAAAGCTCCGCCCGCTGATTTTGTAGCCGCCCAGAATATTTTATTTTTGGCTTCAAAATATACCGGCGTGAATGGATTAAGATTTTATCATGCATACATTTTGTCCATGAAGAATCCTTTGGTGTATAGATTTATGTATGTGCATTAATATGTATCTTGTCTTGGTGCTCTTAGGTAGTCTTTGCATTCCCCCTCCCCTCCTCCCAGCCTCACCCACCCAGTCTCCATTCGTCCCCCCCTTTACCACCACACCTCCAAAATAGGACAAAACTTGTTAATACATGTTTAAGAATATTCCATATGAGTGGGCTTTCACATGATAGGTTTTTTGGTGATAATACAGTATATTTTCTTTTTTCTTCTCTTATCTCCTCTTCTTGTTTTTGAATAGTTTTTGACATAGATTTCATAATGCTTCGTGCCAGTAACAATTGCCAAATATTACCCTATGCTTCAAATTCATAAGAACATCTAGGAATACTAATAATCATATTGCTGTTTACTGTTGACTTTGGTTTTTGCTGGTGTGAATTGGTCACTAATTGCAGCATTGGAAACAAGATGCTGATAAAGCTTAACCAGATTCTATAATTGATTTATTTTCTCTCCCTTTTACTCTCAACACTCACTCTCTCTCGTTCCCTCAAAAAAATCAGTGTTGACTTGATATTTCCTTTAGAAATTGTTTAGTTTTCTCTCTATCTTAATCTCTCTGTCTGTCATTGATTCATGTGCAATGTTAATGTGAATACCTTTTTTCCATAAAAATCATCATGCCACCCGCATCAATCTGATATTAATTGTTTGCAAACTGGTTAATTGTTGACATTAAGAAATGTTATCAAGTAGCCAACTTAGGATGGTGCTCAGGGGAAGCACCTTGTTGGTGTTGGGATAGTGAAGGAAATGCACCAAGGTCGTTCGGTCTGTATCGGCAAATGAGGTTGATTATTCCACCCCAGATTTTGTTTTTTCATTTTTTTCTTCTTTTTCTTCTTTTTCAAGTTCTCTTGTTTTTTAAATTTTCAGTTCATTGTAATTTTTGGTTTTCTCTTCCATGCTTTAAGATAAACATCCTTAAGGTTGATGAGCTTGTTTATGTGGATGAGAATAACTAGGGTATTTCACCTAAAAGTAGAACTTTGTATAACATTTGCACTAATCCCTAGGTAAGCACACATCTTCTATCCTAGAACAAGCAAGTCGAACACTTAAAGTGTGAATATCAAGTGTTCAGTTGATGTTTTACTCTGGAACTTTGTCTCAGCACTATTGCTGTGGAACACTTTTGCTTTCATTATATATTTTTTCACTTATATTAAGTTTGTAAGGCATGGAGAATGAAGGTATACACTATTGGTCTTGAAGATTGCTCACTGGATGGACGGTTGATATTGTGATAGCTGTTAATGATAATACAGTGATATCATGTAGTTTTTTAGACTCATCCAGCCGGTAAATTTAGGATGTTATGATTATTACTATCATTATCATTCTTTTCCTCTCTGTTACTCTGTATTAGTTACCTTTAGTCAAACTCTGAACTTTCAGTTGAAAAAGAACAAAAAGTTGGATTGGTATTCCCAGAACATCAGCCATTAGATTCTGTAAAGAAGGTTGGAACTATATTTTTACAGTATTAATGTTACATTATCCTTGCCATAGATATGACTGTTTGTTTATTTTTGTAATTCACTTTTTCTTTTTCTAGATTATACAAAAATTGGAAAATGAATCTTGTAAAATTAGAAACTTGTATTGATATTGTTTTGATTTTTTCCTTCATAATCTCTCGCGTTCCTCACCATTCTATTTATACAGTTGCTCTGTGATATTTCTGGTATATCAGGATTTAAAAAATGGCTGATGTATGTGAATGCAATCTCTCTTTTATTATTTTGCCAGTACTTCTGTTAGATAAGCCCTTGGCAAAACTATGAAGGTGGTAAAAAGAAAGATGATTTGAAAATTTGGAGTTTGTCTTTATCAACATTTCAGATAATTTTTGTATGTCAGATTTGCAAACTTGTAGAAATACATGGATGGGATTGTTTCTACTTCTGTATGAATTTGGGTGTGGTAAAGTTTATTTTTGTTGACAATCTCAGATTATGCCACATCTAGCATCAAAGTTAAGAATTCAGTTTTTTATTCTTATTACTACTGCTGCTAGTATTTTTGGAATTTATTATTATTATTGTTATTATTACTATTATCTATGTATTTGTATTTTTAAGATTAGTGTATGTATTTAAAATGATATACACCATTACCTCATTTTTTATTTTTTATTTCAATCTACTAACTGAAATATTTAAAAAGGACTTTGAATAATTTAGAAAAAATCTAACATTAACACATTAACAAGAAGTCCAGCCTCTCCAACTTCCATAGTGGCTGGATAATTTTTCCTTTTTTTTATCCATAGAGCTTGGTTATGATTACAAATGTGATACAAATAGCATTTTGAGAAAATCAAACACCCACTTGGAAAGATGCTTGGAAGATCATTTTTGGTGCTGCAACTCCTCTTCCAGTGTGCAGGGAAGGTAAAGCAACGGGCTCTTTGACATTATGAGCTAGCGCTGCATATAGCATCGTCTGGTCTTGCCCTCCTCTGAAAACAGTTTTGCAGAGCTGATGTCCACTGATGTTGGTTGAATGGAAAATAAACGATATTTAGTCCATAGAAATGTATCCTATTTGGGACCCAAGTTATTACACCATGCACCATGTACTAAATCATACCCATGTTCATACTGAACAAGCCTATGATCTTCATGCTTTGTATGATTATGTGTGCATAATTATTATTTTATAAATAAACACTTTTATAAGGTTGTGGTTTTATTTATCTTAACCTTCGTTTTTTTGGGGGTAGGAGACATAATTGTTTGTACCATGTATGGGGCTATGAAACTAGAGATTTATGTTAAAGAACACAAAAGAGCATGATATATATTTAGGGTGTAAATAACATTAAAGATAATTATCATTACACCTTGTATTGCAATATCAAATGTTTTTTCCAAGCATTCCAACACACAAGTGATTTTCTATCCTTTAGGAATGAAGGAGCTTTTGTAAACTATGTCCACAGTAGATACATACATATAACTATGTCAGAGAAACAGTGTTATACAAGCCATTTATACCAAAGAAATATTTTACCTTCAAATAAAATCTATTAAAAATTTCATAGTTGAAATATAGAGTAAAACTGTCTCCAGTTTCATCACTATCAGTTTCACCTGACCCCTGACTAACAAATAGTACTCATAAAGAACACTTCAGCCAAAAAATAAGAAAAATACCTCCCAGCATTTGATGAAATATTACTCATTACAATTTACTGAGTGCTGATAAAGAGGTAATTGAAGATTTGGTAACTACAGCAGAAGTTTGGTAAGGAAGTCAGAGAAGTTGATTGGTGTGATTTCTGGGTAGCAGAATGGAATCTAAGAAAAGAGAAAGTTTATGAAAGACAGAAGATGCTTGGGAAAAAGAACTGGAATGATCAAAGATGAAGAAAATAGACGGGAGTAAAAACATATGCAATATATGACTGGTGGCGAAAGGATTGACCACAGAAGGATATTCAGCAAGTTAAGGTGATAACAGATGCTCATGAACATGTACTGGCAAGCTGGGAGTGTTGAGGTGGGTGGGGAACGTCGAGAGGCTGATGGATGAAAAAGAGAAATTTGGATGCTGTGGAAAAGGTGAATTGCGAAGTGCAATTTATTAGCAAGGATTAAGGGAAGGCAGCCATTAAGAGACCTGGACGGCGGTTGTATCAAACGACAAAGTGGATGCATGGAGGTGAAGTTTTCAACAAAAAATAGTTTTAAAATCTTTTAAAAAGTCAATAAAAGGTCAATAAGAGCAAAAGCAAGTATAAGTATGTAAACAAAAAGCACGGAAGCAGACG